GAGGGTCTTCGGTAGCCCTCGACGTCAGCCAGTTATTTCACCGCTAGTCAATGCGAAGGGGAAGGGTGCGGCCGTCAAAACTTCTACCTCGGAATATTCCCTTGCGGCGCCCCACTTCGCCCCTAGCGATTTCGAGACCCGGGCAGACCTTATTCCCTTTGTCGAGGGAGTAAGCAATCTTGCCTTACCTGCCAGCACCCTGAGCCTATTCACCGAATTGAATGAGTTCGATGAGTGGTGTTCTGCTATTAAAAGCTTGGCGGTTCTGGTATGCTTTTTCTCTCTTCTTGATTTTCCTCTTCTTTTTTTTCATGTCCCATAACTAACATTTGGTCTCTCCGCCTGCTCCTATCTTGCATCCAGATCCTTGCGGGCCTGTCTTGACGGATTTAAGAACCGTCTTCGGGCCAAGGACGACAAAATAGGCCGCAAGAACTTGGAGATGGAAGCCCTCGCCAACACCTTGAAAGAGGCGAAAGCCGAAAACAAGCAGCTCTAATCCGAGTTGGAGAAAGGAAAAGAGGCGAGGGCTGAGGTTGATCGCCTCAAGGCCGAGCTGGAGAAAGAAAAGGCTCATTCCGCCGTGCTGACCGATTATTATAACCTCACTGAGCCGAAGATGGAGGCTCTTCGCCTGAAGGTCAGCAAGGCTGAAGCGAGCGCTGTGGAGGAGTCGCAGCGGTTTTTGCGGGAGATGGCGAAAACCACCGAATCCGCGAGAACGGCGTGCCAAACTCTCCGCCTCGCCCTTACTGACATGGGTGCAAAGGTGCGAGGGATCCCTGTCGAAGATGCCTCGGCCTTCGACTTCTCCGAGTGGACCCAACAGGCTGGTGGTTCTGTTTCGGACTGCGCCACTGCGTACGGTGATTGTTGTGCGCGCGTATCGGCGGCCTTTACCATGGGCCTTATGCAACAGTTCGACTGCGAGCACGTCGACGAGTTCCCTAACTATGCGAAGGGGGATTGGGAGATCAGTGCGCAGAACATTTCGCCCGCTCTTCGCGCGTGGCGAAAACAGTTCTGGCAGAAGGACGGCCGGTCCACTGCCAAGGCGCGCCTTTTGGAGCAACTGGCGAAGGCAGAGACGGCAGACCGGTGCGAAGAAGAGGACGCGGCAGCTGAAGCGGGTGGAGGCGATGCCCAGGATCACCCAGAGGTGTGAGGCTCTCTGCCCTTTCCTTAGATTTTTGTAGTTTCCCTTCTTCTTTTGTGTTTGCCGGGAGTGGCGAACGATGTATATTCGGCAAGCCACCGCTAACCCCCCTTATTGTAGCCGAAAAAGGGCCCCTTGGATATTTGGAATGTACGACTCACTTTTAGCCACCTTTTTTTTGTGGTTGAAGTCTTTGGCGTATTATGATTACGCCCATTTCACATTATGCAATACTTTCTCTTTTTTTCGCCTATTCTTACTATGAAAATCGTCTTTTGCCCTTTTTGCACTGTCTGTCAAGGTGTTCGCCGAAAGTTGTGCATTCGGCCCCCTTCTGGGAGTTGGCGAAGCCAAAACGAGAAATTTGTGGCACTGAAGGATTTGCCGAAGGTGCGATGCCCATTTCGGCCTGTTTATCGCGAAATGGTGATAAACGGCCGCAGCTATAAGGTTTTTAAGGTTGCCGGGTGGCTGTGGGCGCACCCCGGGCGAACCTTAGAAGACTAAGATCTTGTTCATTCAAGACGTTTGGAGGATATGGCTCGCTTTTGGCGAAACTATCGGAAGACTGATCGGCAGGAGGCGATCTCCCAACGTCGTTACAGTCTAGTCTGTGTTTTGCCCCCTTCTCCTCTTATGGTTGTGTATGATATTAGTAGCGATGACGAACCTAGTTCGCCTGATCATTCCTTAGTGAGAAAGAATGATCGCAGGGGCGAAGATGTAATTTATCTGTAAGCTAGGCTGTAACGCCATTGCTCTTTTCTTTTCACTTGTACCATTGTGACGGGTTTGTATTCTTCGATACATTTTTATTCAAAATCAATAAAGGTGCGTTTTATTTCCTTTTCGCTATTTTTGCATTGTCACTTCGTGTGCTTTTCGTTGGGTCGGAACATGTCGGCCCCTTGGCGAACAGCGAGAGAAGGTGGTTCGGCAACCTGAGATTGTGCTTGGGCTTGGGCGGCGGCGACGGAAGCCTTATCGTACTCAGCTTGTATTGCTTGGCGCCGCTTGGAATCGTCTTCGCCCCTTGCAAACCCGTCAATGATGCGAAGTAAATGCTCAAGCGTCTGTGTCTCCTTGTTGGCGATTTTTCTTGTGAGTTCGCCCTTAAGTAGCCCGGCCGAAGCGACGTTTATGACAGACGCCTCGGTTATGTCTTGCACTTGGCACCGAGCTTGCGAGAAGCGAAGCATGTACTCTCTTATCGACTCCCCCGGCCTCTGGTGAATGCCGAGTAGATATTGCTGCGTCTTTGGCTCCTCATAGGTGCCTCGAAAGTTAAGAACAAAGACGTCGCGCAATTGCTCCCATGAGTAAATGCAATTGGCTGGCAAATTGAAATACCAAGAACGGGCGATGCCGTCTAGAGCGAGATGTATTATCTTTGTCTTGGTATTTTCGTCGCCGTGAGCCGCTTCGATCGCGGACTCATAAATGGAGAGGAATTCCTTTGGGTTAGTTTCGCTTGAGTAGCATGGGATGGGCGGGAACTTGAACTGGGGCGGGATTGGATGGGTCTTGATTCCCACACTCAGGGCCCCTTTGATTTGTAGGAAAAATGTAGGAATTTTGGAGGATTTCAATCCTATGGAAAAAAATCCTATGAAGGCCTTTGAGACAAAGGATTGAATCCTATCCAATCCTTTAAAATTCCTATGGAATGGGTAATCCTATGCACATTTTGGAGGAAAGTTAGCAAGAGGTCTAACCTCTTGGAACATTTCCTCTGAGTCTATCTCTCTCATCTGATTCCTGCGTTTTTCCTGTGGTCCAATCAAACGGCCATTCCTGTGTTTTTCCTGTGTTTTGCAATTCTCTGTTTTACAATTGTATTCCTATCAGAATTCTGTGTTTTTCCTATTCCTCTGTTTTTTCATTCCTACGATTCAAAGGGGCCCTCAGGGTAGCCCCTTTTCACCCCCTGCCCTGTTCACGGCACCTTGCTGTGGGTACGGCGTGGCGAAGGGCGAAATCACGGCTTGCGCGTGAGGTTGGGCCATGGCATTCGGCTGCCCGGCTCCGATTGGTGATGCTAGCTGAGCTGCCATGGCTGGGTCGAACGTTGGTTGTGACCATGTCATGGCGACCTAGTTTGGTGCTTGGTTTAATCCGAAGCCTGGCGTTGGTGCTTGCGGCCGAACGGCTGGTGCTTGAGCTGCATTGATGAAGTCGAACTGCGGTCCTTGACTCCACGGTGAAGCCCCCAGACCTGGCTGATTCGACGGCAACCAACTAGGCGCACCTTGACTTGTATTCCCCTCCGGGTGGGCCGAAGGGGCTGTACCTGAAATGCTGTGGGGTTGGCTGGGTTGCTGAAGGAAAGCTTGGAGCTGCGCCTGCAGAGCCGAAGCCCCTTCTGCCATTGTTTGTGGCACTTGGCCAGGCGGTTGAGGATGTACTTGGGTAGCGACCGGTTGAGCTTGCAGTTGCACGTGAGGGGCCGGATGCACTGCTGCGGTCGAAGGCTGTCCGGCGAAGTACATTGGCGCTTGTGCAACTGGTGGAGGAAGGGGCTAGGTCGGTGCTTGTGGATAGACTTGGGGTGGGACATAGCCTGCCGAATACTGTAGGATTGGGGCCGAAGTGACCTTGGACCGCCTTGCCGCCTTGTATGCTTGCTGCTGTTCTTGCATTTGGCGAAGCATGTCTTGGAGTCGTGTCATGTTATGTCGCATGGCTTCCATGTTGGTTTCGGTTTGTGTTTCGGGGTCAGGATTGACTTGATCTTGCACTGCGGCGAGCGCAGTTGAGGCCGCTGCCGGCTGCGACGGAGCGGCTTAGGGCACCAGCAGTTAGCTTGTCGAAAGGATCTCTGCTCTGGTTTGGAGTGCCCTTGCCGCCGCAGCCGCCTTCGCCATGTCAGCCGCGTTCAGCACCTGCGCAGAGGCGGCAGGGGCCGAAGGCAGTAGTGGTGGCGTAGGTGCGGAAGCAGATGGCGCTCCTCCATCTTCGGCGACAGGCGCCGAAGGCTCTGCTCCCTATTCGGCGGCCATATCTCCCTGGCTTCGCTTTCCTTTCGCCTCGTAACCTTCTCCTTCACGACCTTCTTCGGTAGCATTCGCTCTCAATGGTTTCGCTCGGAGATCCCCACGGTCGGCGCTAGCTGTTGTCGAAACGACAACCGCATTCGTCGAAAGACGTGGTTACTCAACAGTGGTTGGAAAAGAAGTAAACTGTACTAATTTGAGAATTTTTCTTCGGATCCCCCTATTACATGACCCTACAAGACTATTTATAGCCACTATTACAGATTCTTACTACTAGGGTTTTGGTTATACAGGGAGAATTTATATGGTTGCCCTTAGAAAGAGACATTTACATGGGTACACAGTGTAATTGTGGTTCATGGTCCCCTGATGGGCCGTCGGGCGATCGTCGACCCAATAGCCCCTGGGCTTGATGGGCCGGAAAGGCTTCTTCGGTCCTCGCGAGGGCGAACTTGCTATGGCGAAGTCGTCTCCCTTCGGCATATACTCTTCGCCCTGCATCCTTCGCCTCTCCTTGTTCCATAGTCTTCGCTATGGGGGGACTTCGCCCTAACTAATTTTGACGTCTTGGGCTTGAATCCCCACTCTTCGCATGATTTTGGCAGGTTTGGTCGAATGGCGTCATGCCATACCGCCAACAATATATATAGATATAGATATAGATATTAGTACATAGTAAAAAACGTGTCTTGCACAGCATTATTACTGTTTTTTAGAAAATCCGAACGGTCCCCGCATGGAGACTTCCAGAAACTAGGCAAAATAACATTTTGGAAATTTCAAAAATATTTTCGAAAAATCTGAAAATCTCCCGAGAGCAAACTGCGCAGTTTCGGAAAATTTTATATATCAGCACTTGAAATTCTCCGGATTTCACGCCGTCCCAAAACCCCTAAGACCCTAAACCGCTCGACGGCATGGCACCGCCACCGGCGATGAAGCCTGCCTCCCGGAAGCGCGGGCCGCCGGCGCCGGACCCGGTGGAGCTTCCCCCGCCGGGCTTCGTGGCGGACCGCGCGGAGGCGGCGGCCCGCGTCGAGCGGCTGCTGCGCTACCAGTTCCGCGACGGGCGCCTGCTGGAGGAGGCGCTCACGCACCAGTCCTTCGCCGACGACGCCGTCTCCTACCAGCGGCTCGAGTTCGTCGGGGACTCGGCGCTCGGCCTCGCCTTCTCCAACTTCCTCTACCTCACCAACCCCACCCTCGGCCCCGGCCCGCTCTCCACGCTCCGCGCCGCCAACATCTCCACCGAGAAGCTCGCGCGCGTCGCCGTGCGCCACGACCTCTACCCGCTTCTCCGCCGCAACTGCCCCCGCCTCGATCTCCTCGTACGTGCCGAGACAATCCATCTCTTCTCTTATTGGAGAATCATGCAATTTCGATTTTTGATTTGATGCTCGCTCAATCGGTTGGCCTTGGGATAGTAAAGTACTAGTTAAACTCTGTTGACATACTTTTGTAGATTCTATGTTTTCCAATCTGTATACTGCCATGGTAAGTAAGATTGTGGTCACACAAATGCTATGGTTGTGCCTTTCACTTTGCTTAGACCATTGCGTCATAAGTGAGTTCACGGTTTATATCAAGGAAGGGATAAACTGGTGTGCTCAATCGCCCATTGGAAAATTTTTAATTCCTGTCTCCCGGCTTGACACTCGGAATTGATTTTAAACGTCAAGACCAGTTTTCATGTACTATATGTTTCTCTTAAACTTTAGACCACATGGACGCCATTCTCTTTCTTATGGTTTTAGAAATTTCCTTCCTTTGTACTGTTTATATGCAATTTGGTGGTGTTTAGCATTTATAGAAAGAAAAAGAAGCAAGTAATGGCATTAATATATCTTTTGAATGTACTAAGTGCTATTCTTCCAAACCTGTGAAAACCATAGAAGATTTTTTGTGTCCATTCCAATGCTTAGTATACTGCTATAACTGGATGTTTTATCTCCTTGAGCAATAAAAAGAGAAGGGGACACCGTAGGTGTAGTGGTAGTTCAAAGTTCAACCTCTCAACTTTGAAATTAAGCCCATGTCTTTATTCTTGACTATGTAGTTAAAAGGAAGCAATGTTGATTCTGGACAACAGTTGGTTTCTACCTGAAATGAAAAAAAAATGCTGACTCAAATTCCATTGTCTTTGACCTCTTATTCATAACGGGAATTTGATATGCAAATTTTAATCTTTTCGAATGAATTGCATCATTTTGTATCAATTGTTTGTTGACACTATAGAAATGCTTTTGAATAGGTGCTCTGAACTGTTAGTGTTTTTCTGCTATTACATCTACATTATATTTTTATGAGGTAGATATTGGACTTAATGTTTTAATTATCATTCTTCTGTAATTGGCTATACTACTAATAATGCAGGTAGGTCAGTTTATTGAAACAGTGAAGCAAGAGCCAGAGGATGATCTTAGTACTGTACCTTATGGTGGTAGTGTTGTCAAGGCTCCCAAGGTGCTCGCTGATATTGTTGAGGCCATTGCTGCTGCTGTCTATGTTGATTGCAAATTTGATCTTGAGAAGCTCTGGAAGGTTCTTAGCTTTTACTTTATGGTGTACTACTGCTAACAATTCTTTACATTCTTCAGAGACTCACATGGTTACATGGCCTCCAAGAAATAAGGTGGACTGTTAATACAAATAACATAAAAGATTGGATAAACAATTTTATTTATGGGAAGCGTCTGGTATTTTTTTTATCATATGACTAATATCATATTGATGTACCTACAATTGTGCAGTTAGGAAATTTTGATGGTCCCTTGAGGAAAAGGAGAAATTTAACTGCATGATATCTAAGCCAACATTTATGATCACATACACATACACGGAGATAGATAGAGTAGATGGATTTACTGGTGGTGATAGTAATAGCTGTGTTGTATATGATTTAGGTCACAAGGTGGCTGTTTGAGCCAATTATTACAGCAGAAACAATAGACGAGCAACCTGTGACTATGTTGCATGAACTATGCCAGAAACACGGGAAGATGGCACAATTCAAGACATGGCAAAAAGGTGGGATGACAGTGGTCAATGTATTTGTTGCTGGGGAGCTAGTTGGTATTGGTTCCTCGGAGCAGAAGGTAATTGCTAAGCTTAATGCTGCACGGGATGCAACAAGGAAGCTTGCAGGTGCAAAGAAGCAAGTGTTAACAACTGGGGTTGGCAACGGATTGGGGGATGAGATTGGAGAGCTTAGGGAGTGCAAACAGAAGCTTAATGAGCAATGCAGCAGGCAGAATTGGCCAAAACCTATCTTTAAGTAAGATACCTCCTTTAACCATTTCATGTAGTTCTGTTTACCAGTATTTTACATGAATTTTGTTCATATAGCACTACTCTTGCCATGCTTGCACAATGTAGGGTGATAGTAAGCCTTCCAAAATAGAAGTGCTATTTGAATTTCAAACTTTACATTGCTGATTGATTGTAGATAATAAACTTTCAACTTAAATCAATGTTTTTGTCACTGAAATAGGCCCACTTTTTAACTCTGTAATTTCTGCAAATAGTCCATTTTATGCCTTGAATTTTAAAACCTGTTACCACCCTAAGCCCACAAACCTGGATCAGTTTACACCCTAAGAACTTGTTTGGCAATATGAAAGCCTCTTAACTCCTTTCAGATTGGTTATTTCAGTATAATTTCTCTTCCAGTCCTAAAGATTGTAGATATCCCTACTTATCCAAACAAACCTTAAGGCGGTTTTGGAGGTTTTGTTAGCAGTGAGCGAACTCCAGTTTATTTTGTCATGTTGGCTACATTAACATTGATTATTTGCTGTTGGGAATTAAGGTAAGATGATGGAGGATTAAAAGAGTAAAAACAGAGCGCATAATTAAACGGATAGATGAAACAGGTCAACTATGTTGATGAAAACATTCTTGAGGTGGACCACATAGAAAAAGGCAAAATTTGCTACATTCTTAAATTGTGGTCTTTGCCAAAAGACACCGGAAAATGTGGCTTTGCTAAAAGACACACTTAAGTTTGTGGTAATTTGCTGGTGGACACTTCTCCAATCAAAATAATGTATGATTAGGAGAGAGAAACTTTGAAAAATGATGTCACTACCTTTTGTTTTCTCCATCTAGTTCGAATCTGTTTCTCCCCTCTCTATTTATTTAGCTTTTCAAAATGGGCCCAGGCACCGCACCACTATGTAAAGCAAAAAGGGATTAATAATACATGTTCCAAGGGCAAATAGACATTTTGCAAGTGTTCTCTCTCCTCACTTGAGTAAAAACAATAAATTATGTGAGCAGCATCCACCAGCAAATAACTGTAATTTCAGAGTGTCTTCCAGCAAACCCACATTTTTGTGGTGTCTTGTGGCAAAGACCATTATTTTGGAATGTCCAGTAGCTGAATTTTCTAATACGGGCAAAATTTGGTTTCTTGTATGGCAAAACAACCATGAGTTTGGTCCTGTTATCGAAACGATCATCTAACCCTAACTATAGGGTGTAAATCTGATCCAATTAAATAATTTTATGGTCTTAAATAAGAGAAGATTGCTCCTTCGCAATGCAGTTGAGGGCGTACTTATATTTACCACAAAGTTTGTGGGCTTTGCAAAAATGCCTAGTCAAGTTAATCCCTCCTTTGCCACAGTGCCGTGTGAAGCACCAAATCTGCTCTAATCTCTTCCATCTTCTCCTGCTGTCACCTTGTGTCACCTCCCATTCGGACCAGAGCAGCTATGGCTGTCGTGCCCAAGCAGCCAAGCTCCACCAGACTACCACTAGCCTCATGCACACCCGAGCTGCGGAGCACCCACGTGTCCTTAGTTAGGATCACTCCTTTCTCAATATACCACAAGAAAATCTTAATCTTAGTTGGAATTCTTAGTTTCCAGATTATCGACTTTCTTGGCACAACATTCCTGTACATTAAAGATCTGTACATGGAATTTACTGAAAAATGCTCTATTTCCACATGCTTTCCATCTGAATCGGTCTGGGTCGTTCAAGAGCTTTATCAAAGCCACCTTAGCCACTACCTTATACCAATCTAAAAGGTTTTCCCCCACCAAAGCCCTTCTAAAGGACACCTTTAGAGGGGTGCTACCCAACACTTCACTCAATCTAGCGTTCTTACTCCTTGTTAACTAATACAAAGAAGGGAACAACTTATCAAAAGATTGAAGCGTTTAACTACTTATTTATTTCATACTTAGACAACCGAACAATTATTTCATATATTTAAAACAAAGGGACAATTGATTAATCAATTGCTATTGTTCAAGTCCTGCACTCAGTAGTAACTGCTAGTAGTATTAAGAGAAAATTCCCTACATGCCCCTGAAAAGTTTCGCCATCTGATTTTCTCTAATATTAGAGAAAATTCCCTACATGCCCTTGAGTTTTCATTTTGATCTCCTCTATCCCTATTCCATTAGTTGACCGTGAGTTGACTGTTAAATTTTTCTAAAATGACCATATTACCCATTTCCCATACTTACAGTTACATGCTATCTACTCTACTTCATAATTCACAATGTGAAAAATTGTAATTCATGATAAAATCAAATGGAGCATAATTATTTATTGAAATGAAAATATAAATTGTTGAGCAAATTTATTTTTTTTGGACAAAATCCATATAAGAGTTTTAGCTAGAAATTATGAACCAAAATTATTTATTTGTTGGGTTCAAATTTTGATGAAAACAATGTATGAATTTCATAAAAGTTAATTTAAAATTTATTTAATTTTTTTTGATTTATTTTTAAAATTTGTTGTCAAATAATTATATTCCCTTAGTTTATTTACAAATAGTTCTTTTTTCATATAAGAATTGTGTTTTATCATTAAACTAGCACATAAGTATAAGTGAGGGCTAATATAGACAATTTCAAAAACATTTAACGGTCAACTAACGGAATGGGCATAGAGGAGATCAAAATGAAGACTCAGGGGTATATAAGGGATGAGGCAAAATTCAGGGGTACATAAGGGATTGAACGAATTCTCAAGGGTACATAGGGGAGAGAAAATTCTTAGTTTACAATTTATACTTTGGATGGCAAAAGTATTGTCAAACTGCATACTTGACATTGCATTTCTCAGAGTTATATGTTTACCTCAGAGTTGTCAAGTAACTCCATATCCATTGTGGTTGTTGGGATTCTGACAAGGCAGGCCAGCTCATTTGAAGGAATGCCATGACACTGATACATGGCTTGTCTTGTCAAAACCTGTTCCATGTGATGGGGTGTAATTTCTTCACAATCCTACACTTGGTCTATGGTTCTGTAAAATAAAATCTTAGGCTACGTTCGTTGGAGTGAGTTGGGGAACTAATCCATTCGACACGCAAAACGGAGTGACTCATTAGCGCACAATTAATTATTAGCTAACTTTTGATTTGAAAAATGGATTGATTTGATTTTAAAAGCAACTTTTGTATAGATTTATTTATTTATTTTTTTTTTTTGCAAAAAACACACCGTTTAGCAATTTGGAAAGTGTGCGCGCGGAAAACGATGGGATTGAGTTGGGAAAGTCAGCAAAAGAACACAGCCTTAATTGTCTTGTTCCCTATTAGTTATGCGGACTGTGTAATTTTGTAAATTTATCTTTTTGATGACCAAAGAGTTGTATTAGATTTACGGGAAGTGTTAGGTCTTATTATTTTCAGATGGAGGGGATGGTGTATATAGAGATGTATTAAATATTAGATATTATAAAGCTGAAAAATGTGAACCTAGATTTTTTGCTCTTGCATTCATTTCTGTTGTTCTTACTATGATACCTGGATAATAGGTTGCTTTAGTGGCAGGTCTTCGATTTAAGTAAAAAACATTTGGAGTGTGCATGATGCTTCTTTCATCTTGGTCCACTGCAAACATTTTTTGTCTTTTCTTCAAATGCCTTTAAATGTGACTTGTCAACAGAATGCCATTTATGTTTTTTCTAATAAAAAGTTTGGGAAAAATTTGCTCTAGGACACTCTAAATTCATGGCATTTGCTCTAGGATACTCTAGTTTTGGTTTTGCTATAGGAGATACTAGTTTTTTTGTTTTTTGCCAAAAGACACTCTGGCCATTATTTTAGGGCAAATTTTGCTGTAGGACACCTTGACTTTGTGGTTTTAGCTCCAGGACACGATAAAAGTTGATCTTTGGAGGAAGACGCTCTCAAAACGTAGTTATTTGCTTCTGGATACTACACGCACTAAAATATTATTTCCTGATTGAATAGGAGTGATAAACAACGTGACAGGTCAAAAATGCCCCTGGACCCACTTGTTATATTCTTCTTCTTCCTCTTTGTTTGGCCCATTTGCAATACCCCGCTGCCCTCTTCGAGTCGAGTCAGGGTAGGGTCTGGTAGGGATTGGGGTCCAATGCCAGTGGCAGGTGAAGCTTCGGTGATGGCACCATCCTGCTCGCAGTGGCGTCGACAACATTGTCCATGAGCACAACACGTCACTGTGACGGATCTGGGGTCACCGCCCATAGGTCGAGTGCATCTCCCCCACGGCTTCACCCCCACACTGCTCACTATGCTAAAGCAAAACATATTTAATTCTCTCAGAGGCAAGCATGTATAGGCGAATCCAATTAAAGCAAGCAGAGATGAGTAATGTGCCAATCCATGGCAAAGCTGAGAAGAACAAACAAAATCCCTTGCGCTGCCACCTGCACCACCAGTTCACCACTCATCGTGCGGCTGCCCGCGGCGACGACGCCACAACTCCTCTTATGTGCTGCCACTCGCCATGCGTCCACCAGCTCCTCTGCTCGCCACAGCTACCCCCTTGCACTACCGTGCGTCTATGCCGCTGCTTGCCGAAGAGAGATGGGAGAGGTGGTCCCTGACATTTGTGCCACTGCTTGATGAAGAGAGATAGGAAGAGAAATAATATGACAAGTGGGCTCAGGGGCATTTTTGATCTTTCGTTTTGTTTATCTCCTATTCAACCGGAAATTAATATTTTAATGACTACGGTGTCCAACAGCAAATAACAACGTTTGAGAGTATCTTCCACCAAAGATCGACTTTTACCGTCTCCTGGAGCTAAAACCACGAAGTTACTATGTCCTTAAGCAAAATTTGCCTTTGTTTTAATATATCCTCTTCCAGTGAAGAGATAAAACTCTGCAAATTTTACCCTTGGGACACCTTGCAAAGTTTAAATTTGAACAAATTTTGGCTAACTATAAACATTTTGCACAATTTAAAAGTTATCCAAAACTAATTTTTTTTTTTACAAAAAGTTGTTTAGTTTTTTTTTATTTCTGTTATTTGTAACAAGTTTTGATTTTTGCAAAATATTTTAAAGTTCAGCCAAATGTGTTCAAATTTTAATTTTGCAAGGTGTTCCAAGGCTAAAATCATCTTTTGCAAAGTTCTATCTCTTAATTGGAAGATGATATATTAAAATAATGGCTTGAAAGTCTTTTGGCAAAGCCACAAAACTAGAGTGTCCTATAGTAAATCCACAAAACTAGAGTGTCGTAGAGCAAATGCCATAAATTTAGTGTCCTGGAGCAAATCTAGTTTTTTTTGTGTTCAAAACAGAAAATTTGCTTTGTTTTCTTTTTCATGAATTCCTTTGAGATTATTAAATCAGAAACCATGGCATACTGTATTTTTACTCTGTGGAGTTGCTTGTTACTCTCTTTCACTTGTATTTAGTGGTATTTTATATTTATCTATTTAAGAAGCTGGTGAAACTATGTAGCTATAGTTTGATTGCATATGATAGTTCTTCCATCACGATGAGGAATTATTGTTTGCGATGTGGGGCTGCTGTGTGGCAGCATGAGCTGAAGGAGATGGCTTGAGTGTGGGTTTCCAGGAGTAGCACATGTTAAAAAGGAGAAATGAAAAGGGACTTGGGGGGAGTTTCCTTGATGAGTGGTGAGGGCTTGGGGTAGGGTCTGAAGACCAGGGGTGTTTCTCTCATGTAGCCACTAGTAGGCTTCTCCCTGATTGTTAGACTAATTATTGATGTTTCATTTTTTAATGAAAAGAGATGCCAACATATCCTTCCACAGATATGATAAATTGACCCCTAAGAAACCTCTCTCCAATACTATGGAAATAGATGATATACTAATGTAATGTCATCTCTAAAATTTAAAATTCACCGTGGTGTTACAGTAACCACATGAGCAATACATGGTGTGAGCCTAGACCTTGCGCCCATAAGTCCATAACAAATAGTTATTTGGCTACCATATGTTCGTTACAAAAAGATTCACTATTTGAATAAGGATTATTCCTAAGAATGATTCCAGGAGGAACAGCTAAATCCCTCCTGTAAACCTCTGCACCAGTATCGGTGCACCTTTCTTCATTGGCCTACCACACTCTGGCCCAGGGCTCTGCATACAGCCCATGTGTCTTCCACCAGGCCATAACACTGAGGGAGGAAAACTAGTGCTTGGTTTGATTTGCATTATCACTGTTCACATTGTGCTGTTAAGATGGAATGCCAGCTAAATGTTGAACTGTGACTTCCTTTAGTGGAAGCATTGGTGAAATTTTGATGTGGGTAAGGTAGCAAGCGGCTTTTAGTTAATCCATGCTACTTGGTTTGGAGTTTCATTTGTGAGAAAGATTTATATGTTACCATAGGGAGTTTTTCTAGATTTCATTGTAACAGGTGCAATATCATGCCATATTTTTAAGATTCAAACCCCCCAGATTATGATGTTTGCTTCACTAAACCTCATGTTTTGACTTTTGAGGCAACAAGCATCACAGAACCCAGCCCTGTCATCCTTACATTCCTCTTCTTTCTTCCCCTTTCCCATTCTGAGCAAAGCAGAGCAATGTACTGGGCGCAAGCTCGGTGATTGGGTTATTGAAACAAAAAGTTGGCAGCTTGAGCTTGAGAGGTGGGGAGGGGCAGCAGCTGTGAGCTCTGTCGCTGGGGAGCAGTGGGGATGCAAGCTTGATCAGCGGGGAGCAGCAATGGCACGGGCTTAGTCTCTGGGGAGTGGTGGTGATGCAAGCATGCTCTTCAAGATTGGGGCATTGGTGGCGGGAGCTCCGTTTTCAGGGTGGGGCAGTGCCTCAAGCTTGGGACTGGGAAGGTTGGTGGTGCGAGATCATGCTTTAGGAGAAGGGGTGGCAGTGTGAGCTGGGGTGCTGGGAGAATTGGTGGAGAGCAGGGTTAGTGGTGTGATCTCAGGATCCAATAGAAACGGTGGTGTGAGCTCAAGGGCAAGAAAAAGGTGTGGGTGGTCAGATTAGTTGCCCCAACCTTGCATCCTGTCTTTCCTCTGCACCAGGTGGAAGAGGTGGAATTATATTAGCATGGAGAGGTGGACGTTAAGGGAGAGGAGAAGCAGCGCCTGGTTTTCACCTCTGCGTTGCTCTGCTCTGATCTGTGCAACAGGAGGGTGAAGGGGAAAAGGAAGAAGAAGAAAAACTTTGACTGACAACCTGGGCCCACCTGTCACCTGACTGAAGTGGTGGAATGAGCAACTTTACTGGGGTTTTGCGACCTATAGTGCCATTTATGTAAATAATAGCAAATGTTTCGTGTGTATAAAATGCTAACCAATTGTTGCAGAATTTTTGTTCTTTACAAATATTGTAAGTACATGTGTATATACATTTTCCATGGATCACCTGTACATCTTAATGAACGGGTAGTTCAATGGGTTATTTCTCCAGGTTAGAGAAGGAAGATGGCCCTGCACATGAAAGGAAGTTCGTTTGCTCTGTTCAGGTAGAAACTGCAAAAGGTAATTTTGTAACAATAGGCGATCCAATGTCGAGGGTAAAAGATTCAGAGAATTCCGCTGCACAGAAGATGTTGGAAGTTATATTGAAATTTTGATTCCTTTTTTGTACATGTCTGGTCTGTATATCTTGACATCTTGTGATCTTTTTGACTTGAGTACACCAACAACCGAGGTTTTGTGGACTATTGCTAATTAATGTCATCATTTGTTATACCTGAGCAATTGCCTGGAGCCATGATCCATGGAAGATGGATTTTGGCCAAAATGGTCCCAAGCCACCTGTGAGCCATGGATGAACCATAAAACAAAGAGCGTTGACTACTTGGCAGTTTTCTTGTGTTCTACTTTTCCTTCGGTCGATTCCTGTATTCTTAATCATCAGCTGACTTCTGATTAGAGAAGTCACAAAAACTGAACTAGCTTGTGACACACTTTACTTTTCCTTTGCTCGTGCACTGTTGTTACAAGAATGAATCTTGATGAATATCCTGAATATAAGTTTTGAGTACTACGAATCGGAACACAAGTGCTTGAGGCTGTTTGACATGAGGCAGCCACTGATAACTAATTTGGATATATGATCTGTCTCCTCGTTTTGGGGTGTTTGGAGATGAAGGCACGTCCCAGGGCATTCCACGCAGGGATGGATAGAGTAGTTTTGGGTTCATCCTTGCCTTTTGTCAGGTTCATGCCCTTGTGTATCTCCTCCCATGTGAGATCGTACTTCACAGTATCTGATCAGTAACTTCAACTTATTTCAAAAGGAATTTTTTTTTGCCAAATAACTTGTTGATATGAAGTGTTGTAAAAGGCGTCCTTGTAGTCCTCCTAGGCACAGAATCCATCATAGCGTAGAGCATATGTTGCAGGGTTATGTTGTATTGTTGTTGTCTGTGTTCTGCAAGCACATACGATGCAGAGAACATTTTTTTTAGAACAACATTAGGGGAGAGGGATTGGTAGAAGTCCACTCATTTATTATATGCTAACTAAATAATTATAAGAAAAACTGACAAGATAAATCAATATGTAAATATATTACTCCACAGACACCATATACATACAAGTTCAAATTTGAATTTCACTAATTCTAATAAAATAATAATTTGTAGAAGTCAAAATTTGAACTTGCATATTTACGAAGTCACATGTTCTATATTTATATATCTTGTCAGCTTTTTATTTTTTTTCATAACCTTTGATTTGATATGCAATAAACGAGTAGATATCCATCCGGGTGATTAAAAGAGTTTCTCCGATATGAGATTAGATATGCATAAAAAAAGTCATCTACAATCCTCAAGGTGCTTTACCCTCGTAAAATCATTCCCAAGTATAGTTCCCACCAGGGGGCGGAGCCATAAATGAAAATATTCAAGACTAGGGCTCAACTGCTTAGACATCATGTATCTTCAAATTTTTTACTACTTTTTAATAAACTTTAATAGGAATTTAGGAGACAGTCTCTCCGCCCCTGGTTCCGACATATCAAGGCTCACAATTTTCAACCGTATTTTTTCAAAATTTTGGGTTTAATATATAATGGGAGAGCCTATAGGATCGGCCCGGGCCAAGAATTGTCATTTTTCAATAAAAAATGCTTAAATTTTCAGAAAAAAAATTGTTCAAACCTTAAAAATATACCCCGATATGGTTTTTCATTACAAAATAGCGGACATAACGTAAAATATGTTTAAAGTCATGTCAAACGAATTAATCAAGTGCTTACCGGGCTTATACGGTGCAATGGACGCGAAGGACGGTGCCACACCGCACCTGTTGATCCGACCATACTCCATGCACAGCATACTTACATTCTCATGCATCCTCTCTTTGCTTTCAAACTCCATTACTCAACCGCCACCATTCATTCTGCCTGCCGCTGACATTCCTGCTTCCTGCATTGCAAATGCATGCATTCTCTTCTCTATATAAGCTTCTCTCTTCTCTCTCCAGCCTCCACAGACACACAAGAACAACACAAACTTCGTCTGTCTCCACAAAAGAATCAGGAGCTCGAGCTAAGCTAGCCAAGCTAAATTAAACTACTTGCTAAAGTTCGCGTGCCATGGCAAAGATCACCGTGTTCCTCTTCCTCCTGGTGGCGCTCGTCGTCGTCTCCGCCGCCGAGGCCAGCCCAGAGCCGCTCCCGGCGAGGAGGAGCAGGTTCTTGCTCACCAGCAGCTCATTCTACAGCTGCTCCAAGAAGTCGGCCGCCGCCGTCTGCCTCGCGGTGGGGAGCCCCGGCGCGACGTGCTGCGGCGGGCGGTGCGTGGACACCGGCGCCAGCGGCGAACACTGCGGCGGCTGCAACAAGGCGTGCAAGCACGGGCGGAGCTGCTGCGGCGGGCGGTGCGTGGACCTGCTGTCCGACAGGGACAACTGCGGCAGCTGCTCCAACCAGTGCAGCAACAAGTGCACCTACGGCTTCTGCGACTACGCCTAGTAGATGATCCTCTGAATCTGTCAGAAATCTATCATCTATCCATCATCTATAGATGAATCGGAATAGAGTATATGAGAGCTAGCCCTTTAGAGGCAGGATTAATTTCCATTATTAAAGAAAAATACGAGTGCATTCCCGGTCACCTGAACAAGTGGCATATATGTATGTGAGTGACACAACATGTGCATAGACGACGCATTAAAACTCAAGAGATTCAAAGCTATAGTAGATAGATTTGCAATCTGCAGTGCGGAAAGAGTCAGGGCCTCAGGGTGTGAAGGGGATGTATGCAGAGAAATCCGTGGTCAAAACGAAATTGAAGAGAACTTAGTTACACTTGTAATTGTCACTAGATTGAAATTGTACTAAATATATATAACGAATTGTTGGAGCAATATTGGCGAATGTTATTTTTAATCAGGAATCATTAATTTTTCTTCTAGGCAGCTTCTGTCCCAAAATGGTATACTTGATGGGTGTGCAATCATATCAGCAATGGGAATTAATCATGGAAATGTGAAAATGTGGAAATTTCTAGGTCTTCCTCTCAATTATCATATTCTTTTTTAATATATCCAAGAATCCTTCACAAGTTTTTTAGCTAAAAAAACTTTCAGATGCACTACAATGTATACATTGTTAGTAGTATATATTAAATTGCATAATTTGTCTAGCTTGGTGGTAGCACGTTCCTTCCTTTGGTACAGAGGTCCTAGATTCGATTTTTTTTTTTTGTTATGGGTGAGGCTAACGAATGTTTTTGGTGATTAGCTCCACACTACTCATTAATTATAATAACTTGATGATGATAATTGGTTAGCTCCTCGTGACTACTCATTAACTATTATTTGATGATGATAACTGGTTAGCCTCCTCTTGTGGAGATGTTGGATCTGTGCAACCAGATTTTGGTTATTCAGAGTTGTTTTGAGCCTATGCAGCATTGGTGTGATATTCAGTGTTGAATAATATTGTTATTTAATTACTCTAATGTTTTACTACTTTTAAATATTTTTGAAATGTTGCTTTTGCAAATGAATCCTATTATGCCATCCTTTGTTGCCCCGTGCATCTTTATTTTGTTGTGTCTTGTGGAGTATTACTTAGTTGAAGATCGATTTTAAAGAAGAAGACTCTTGGCATATACTCTAGGTGAGCTGCCTGTGAGAGTGGAGCTGAAGAGCCTTTGCTAGTTCTTTCTTTTCTGATGCAGTTATCTTCATGGTAAGGACTGAGGATGTGTTTTTCAGTGTGGGTTAGGAACTAATCCTCTCTTCACGTAAAACAGAGCGACAGATTAGCACATAATTAATTAAGTATTAGTTAAAAAAACTTTTTAAAAATAGATTAATATGATTTTCTAAAGCAACTTTCCTACATATATGTTTTACAAAAAGTTCATCGTTTAGCAGTATAGGAAGCGTGTGCGTGCAAAAAAAAGAAAAGAGGAACTAGAAGTTGGGAAAGAGGAGAAAAGAACACATCTTAAGTTTCTCTTTTGTAAGTATTATTGTATTAGTTTTGTTGGTACTATATAATCAAATTGTTAGTTTGTGTATCTTACCTGATTTTTAGATAAGGATTTAATGCACAAATTTGTTTGGAAGTTATTTCTGAATTTTTGAGTGTGACACGAATTTACTCCATTACACTTTTCTGCAAATTGGTGCATAAGTTAGTTACTTTACCAAAAGCACAATGTATTATTGTGAGGCCCCTAAGATCATGTTGTATCGGGGAGAGGAAGTCAATGGCATCATCTGCAAAGAATGAGTTTTGCGTTCTTGTAGTACGCCCATTAATTGAGGTATGTCAGGACTCCTAGCTCGCCAAAGGTTGTGCATGCTAATAAGGGTTGAGGGTTGGGTGGGGGGAGGAGGTGGTGGTATTGGGACAGGGGTAGAGCGATTTTTGCAACAAAGATTGTGTTGATAATTTTAATATTGATAGGTTGCGAATAATATTTTTTATCTGATATTGCATTAGTATCGGCAAAAGTGCACACACCATCCCTGGCACCTAAGTAAGCACATGTATGGAGTTAATCCTAGATATGTTTTGCTTCACACAATAAGAAACTTTGCAGTCAGTTAGACCTCTATAGAGTGTGGCATTAGCTTACACAAATCAAAGAGCTACTCATAGCATGAGTTGTTCCTAAATAATATTCATTGCATCATCATGTATATACATACTATTTACTTATTTAACACACCACTAAACGAAAAGTCACTGGTGGAGAAAGCGTTTTTGCTCCCGGTTCATAACCCTCTGTACTCCCGGTTTTGCAACCAGGAGTACGAATCCGGGACTAAAGATACCCATCTTTAGTCCAGGGTAAAATACCCGGGGCTAAAGATCGATTTTTAGTCCCCGTTGGTAACACTAACTGGGACTAAAGATGTAGTCCCCAACCGGGACTAAAACTTTTTTTCCTTTTTCCCTGCTTGCATCTATTGATTTCGAGCTACCACAAATCATTCATAAAATCATCCACAAATCACTCATAAAATCATCCACAAATCTTTCAAGTACAACAAATCATTTATAAAATCATCCACAAATCTTTCACAAAATCCCCAAAATACATCAAGCTACATTTGCTTCATATCCCATTCACTTTACTACACCATCATCACATCATAAAAGCATAAACAAAAGACATGAACAAGAAAGAAAAAAGAACGAGTCTTCATATCCAGCTCCAGCGCCACAGCCTCATTTAACAACCCATTGACTTCTGCAGCAACTCCTTTAGCTCTTTCTTCCACCTTATCAGAGAAATCTTGCAGCCACTTCAAGACCTGAACAGGAAACGCGACAACTTATGAAGAGAGAAGTGAGATACTAAGATGTACAGTTGCAATCAGAGCGAGACAACGAAAACGAGCATCGCATTCCGTCGCCGCGGCTGCTTCCGCCCGTCGCCCGGCCGCTGCACAGGCCGCCGCGCCGGCCGCCATCGCCCGTGGGAGGGGAATCGGAGGGGAGGGGAGGGTGCCGGAGGAGGAGAGGGGAAGAGTGGGGTGGGAGAATGAGGGGAGGAGGAGGAGAAAGGGATGAGGTTGAGAGGATGAGGTCGAGAATAGATCGGCACTTAGTCGATTTTTCTAGGGCGCGGCGCGGCGCGGGGCAGTTTGCTCATTTATTTTCCCGGTAAAATAGATCTTTAGTCCTGGTTTATAATACAAACCGGGACTAAAAATGGTAAAGGGGTATGACACTGTCTGATATTTTTTGAATCGGGACTAAAAATGAACTTTAGTCCCGGTTGGTAAGATCAAAAAGTTTTGAATCGGGATGAAAGATCATCTTTAGTCCCGGTTTAAGAGAACCGGAACTATTGTGAAATTTGGCGGACTGATCAAAGATCGTTTCTCCAATAGTCTACTGAAGAGTAAGCCATTATGTAAAGAACCTCCATACTCTAAATGAACTTTACTAGAACATTGAACTATTATTTGCAAGGTAGATAACTTGAGGAGAGTAGTAATCTAATCATGCCAACATGTAGGGAAGTAGATTTGTTGCATGAAATTCAAAAGGGTAATCCCATCACATAGTGTCGAAGGCTTTCTCGATGCCAAAGTTTGATCAAGAGAGTGAATGTGTTGGTTCGGTGAAATTTAATGGCAAGGTTCAATATGAGCAAACATGAAGTTGTTGTGGATGCTCCACTTTTGCAAATAAGCACTTTGGACAGTTGAGATGATAGAGCCTATAACTGGTTGCATCTCAAGGGGAAAAATCTTTTAAATAATCTTTGCAAAGACATGCACTTTTAGGTAAAAGATTTATGATGATATATACAAGCTCCTTTTTTTCGAATCAATTCAATATTCACTAAGTTTAAGAGGTCAAAGTGTACTCTGAAAATTACAAAAGAAGTTGATTGAGCTTTAGGATTTGCCGATATGAATGGCAAAATTCTCATGTGAAGCCATCGGGCGCTGGGGCTGCCTTGTGGCATTCTACAGATGGGTTTATCCTATGAAGTCATGCAAAACATGCACATGTAGCCAAAGCAATCGAAGATCCACCTTGTGAGATCCAAGGGAGTTTAGGATTACTGTGAAAGTGCTGGTCGACAGTTGTTCCTTTTCATCACGGGCTACTATCCAACCATGCTGTTATCGCAAGCATTGTACGTGGTTCCTTGTTTGTCATGCATTCACTTTCAAGTGGAAATATCATGTATAGAACCACTTTTCTTTATCCATGTGATGCGTGATGATTGACCCTTCCTTGACTTATCTATTATGTCAAGATCCATACTATTTGCTTAAGTTGCCTAAATAGCAGTTGCTCATACGCTGTTAGCAGCTATTTCTTGGGCAATGTCTAGAAATATGATGACTTCTAGGGCCATATGGAGCTGAGCTTAATTCTAGCTGTGTACTGTTGGAATTGCTCACTCACAGCTACAAGTGTTAATCACAAATACTTTTGTCTCTCTCTGGTGGGAAATCACTTCCTCTCTCTCTACTGTGTTTTTGCCACAAACACACACGCACAAAGGCTTCTCAGGTGGACACACACAAACAGCACAAGACGCAACTTTCTGTTGATTCAACCACACCCGGCCTCATCATTTTTTCTCATTATTTATAGACTCAAATTACATGCAAAGGATAACAACCAGCCAACTCACTTGGCCTAAACTCACGCCATGATCCTAAAATAATGCAACGTGCAAACCATGCAAATTAAACTGGACCTATTCACAAGCCTCAACTTCACATCGTGGCTTGACCCAAACTAACAGAGCACCATGCACTCCTGACGTGCTCATCTCATGCAGATCACATTGCATGCCTCAGATATTTGGAGCCTCCGGCCGGCCGCTTCACACGCCAGCTGAAACTATCATGCTTGTGCGCTTCACACGCATCACCGTTACGATTCTTTCAGCACCACTCACTGCTGCAATGCAAATTTCTACACTCGTACACGATGTTATTGATCTACATGCAAGTACAAACCATCTTTCGTCGGTCGGCCGAATTCCACAATAGTCCCGGTTGTAATAAAAACCGGGGCTAAAAATGATCTTTAGTCCCGGTTAAAAAGGGTAACGGGCATATTTGATCTTTAGTCCCAGTTGGTAACGTTATCAACCGGGACTAAAGATCATCTTTAGTCCCGGTTCAAATGCTGTCAGGGCCTATCAGGCCCCCCCAGGATCTTTAGTCCTGGTTGGTTCCC